GGGATGGGGCACGTGGTCCCTGCACCCTAAAACGGGCAGGTTGGGGTGAGGGACCTGCTCTCTCACAGTGTTACTCACCACCCCACCCTTCTCGCTCGCTTCCCCAGCTTAGAGACAGCCAAATCTACCTCCCAGGTGCCGCCAGGCCCTGGCTCTGTGGACCTCGGCGTGGGCTTCTCCCAGCCCCTCACCCCGGGCTCCAGCCCAGCGCTGCCTGCCGTTGCCCCAGCCCCCCCGGCCCTGCTGGGCACCCCCTACACCATCTCCCTCTCCAACTTCATCGGTCTGAAGCCAGTGTCCTTCCTGGCGCTGTCCCCGTCCTCCATGGCGGGTCCCAATGGCGGCACTGCCACCTACACAACCAAGATCTCGGCAGCCAACGGCACCAAGAAAGCCGACCGGCAGAAGTTCTCACCCTACTGAGCCCTGCTGGCGGGTGGGAGAGGGGGTCCAGGGTGTCACCTGGTGCTGGGGACACTTCCCTGCCACCCACCCTGTCCCGAGCCCCTGCCAGGCACCCCATGCCCGGGGAGGGCCACCCTTGCCCCCCACCCCAAGGAAGGGAAGGGTCTTCCCAGCAGCGATGCCCACTGGAGGAAAGGGCTGCTCCGCTGCCTGCTGCCCATCCCAGCAGCGCTGTGCCCCCCCCTTGCCCAGTTTTCCTGCACAGGGACCGTACAGGTCGGGGGGACTGTCCCTGCCCCCCCAGGGTCCCTTCTTTCAGTGCCCCGTGCTGGGGTGGGACCTTTGCCTCCTGCCCCTCGCCCTGCCCACCCTGCCATCCTGCTACTGCCCACCATCTGGCTGGCACCCAAAAGGAGGGTGCCACCAGATGAGGGGCTGCCTGGCCTCTCCAGGGGTCCCCTGTCCCCTGGCTCTGGTGGGGGCCCTCCCCAGGCCACCTCGGGGCAATCACCTCCCAGCAACCCCATCCAAGAGCCAGTCCCTGCTGGCTTGGAAATGCTGTATATATAAGTCTATATTTTTTCCTCCTTTGTAACTTATCAATGGTTTAATAAAAAGATAAAATTTACAAGAAAAAAAAATAATATCCCCTACCCCGGGTGGAGACACCACACACACACCAGGGGCAGCCCCAGCTCCTGGGGACACGGGGTGGTGGCCGGAGGAGCATCCCTGCGGCCAGGGGGGTGCTGGTTCTCAGCCTCAGTCTCTCTGGGCGTCTTCCCAGGGCCCCCTCTCTGCCATGGGGCAGTCTGCAAGGCCATGGGGCAGTTCTCACCCAGCCCCCCCAGTTATTACTGGTGCAGAGGTGGGTGCCTCCAACTGACTGTGCCAGCACCATCCCTGGGGCCTTTGTGGGGGACTCTGGCGTACCCCTCCCGTGTCACCCCAGCAGGGTCCAGTCCCCTTGCTTGCACTGGGGGCTGCATGGGAGGGCCCCCAAGCTCTGCAGAAGCAATGAGACCAAAGGGGGACAGTGGCTCC